ATTTAATATACTTCTAATCGCTATTTCAATCTTTCTATCTTTCTAATTACTTCTCTCTCTGTTTTTCTCTCTCTCTGTTTTTCTCTCTGTCTCTATTTTCTCTTCACTTAAAAAGTCACTGATGATGAAGAAATAAATAAACTAAATAAACTAATATTTGGTTTCGTTTTCTACTGAAGGGACAAAAAATGTTAATATATAATTTGGCTGCCAATATTACAAAATGTAATGATGTTTTTACATAATGTGGCTGTGAATGTTACAAAACGTATTATTATTACATAATGCAGCTGTGAGTATTACAACATGTAATGATATTATTGCATAATATGGCTGTATTACAAAATGTAATATTGTTATTACATAATTTGGCTGCCAGTATTACAACATGTGTAAAAGACTTTTATTACATTTTGCATCAATTATTACATAATGCGGTTTTACTGCAGTTTTATTACTTTTTGAAGCCCGGGTTTATTACATTTTTACATAATGCATCGTTATTACATAATGTGGCCTTACAGGGTATGTTGGAGTGACAGGGTGGACAGTTGACTCTGTGACACAATTTATTTTTAATAATTAAAATTACTCYTCCCTGGCTCCTTTTAACCCTTTATCTGTCCACAGAAAGATCCAGTCTCAACCCCCACTCCCTGTAAAGAAACCCTGTTCTTGTTTTGGTTTCAGATTGTGCACGAGTCTTTCCTGGTTTCTGCCTACGAGCCCCGTGAAGCTGTTAAAGCTTACAAGCATGGCAGCCCAATCAGGACATCCAAAGGTTTGAAGAGCATCTTCGATGTGTTTCTGTGGCTTGTCCTTTTCTTCTGTCTTTGTGGGGACATGTTGGGCCCAATGATGTAAAATTCTAATGAATGAAGTGTGTTCCARTGGATGGTGAGAGTCAAACAGAAGGTACTGATCTGTGTGAGTTTCTTCTAAACTTTAATTTTGAGCCTTCCATCTCTTTCCAAGTTCACCAAACAGTCCAGAAAACACAACTYGTTGTCGTTGGCTTCCTCTCTGGTAAACCTGACGTTGTTGTCCACCGAGCTGATGTGTCTGATGAAAGTCTTCTGAAAGTCTCAAGGTGGTGTTGTAACCAAAAAAATGTATACAATTCAGCATAAAAAAAAACTCTAGTCCCCAAGCTGCCACAGTAGCAATAGTCTGTTAACGTGCAGGTGTTCCTCTTTGTCATCACAAAACAGAACCTTTTTTAATGGACGTTTGTAACGGTRTATCTGAATAACTCTTTATCTCAGTCTGATCATTTTTATTCATGGTACTTTGTTAACTACTAATGTTACCTTTACAATCACACATTCACATTTATCAAGAAAATTTGATGGCACAGGCACTTTTACTAAAAATATAAATCATGTCACTGACTGTGGGAAACTTACTGGTAACTCATAGATGACCAGAGTTGYGTCAGCCTGTTGTGGGCTCAGAGATTAAGAAAGATGATAAATRTTGCAAAGATGCAAACGTTTTTCAAAGGATGTGGTCACATGTTGAGTTTATATAGATTGTTTTAGATAACATTGTTAACCAGCAAGAAAGCTGGCTTTAAAAAGGCCYACTTTACCACTTCTGTGAGCACAAGCTAGAACCTTCAGCATCATGCATGGTCTGGGCAAACTCCTGGTTTTCCACTTTCTGCTGTGTCTCGGAMAAACCGGTAAGAAACCCAAGTTAATGTCTTAGTTTCAAACTTTAAAATGTGTCACTTACATTTGCTTTTTTATCTTTTACAGTCCATGGGTTTAAGATCATACATGGAGGAATAGCTCCAAAGAACTCAATGCAGTACATGGTCTCAATACAAAACAAAAGTAATTTTCATCAGTGTGGAGGATTTCTCATCTCAGAGGACTTTGTGGTCACTGCTGCACACTGTGATGAACCGTGAGTTTCCAGTCTGCTTTTCTTTCTGTCTACATTTTTAATTGATAAAAGTTAAAGATATTTGTCAGAAAAAACACTAATAATCCTTCAATCATCAATTCTTTAGAGAATCACCGATACATCAAATTCTTCTGGGAAGCCACAATCTCAAGGTGTCGAATAGATTATTAAAAAATATTGACTATAAATGCAAGCCCTCAACTTACAGAAAGCCTGGACTTGGTGATGACATAATGCTTCTTAAAGTAAGTATATATTTACCACTCGTGTGATAACTTTAATGAACACAAAATTATTGTAACTCAGCTATGTTTACAGATATTGTGCTATAATATGGTATATAGGTAGCTGAGAGTCACTCTTTTCAACTATCAGAGTTGATTTGGTCTGTTAATATCTCATGAACAACTTGATAGATTTTGATGAATCTTAAAGATTTTATTGTAGTTACAACCAACACAGAAACTGACTAGCAGCACCAAAGGAACTGTAGGCCAGTCGATTTCCTTTACATGTTGATCCAAAATTTATTCTGTACTATTATATGCTTCAATACTTTACAGTTAATTGCGTAAAAATACATAAATATGTATTTTTTAATTCTATCTTGTGTCTTCAGTTGTCTGGGAGAGTGCATCAAAGCAACAGAATAAGAGCAGTTCCACTTCCAACATCTAAGATGAACCTGAAAGAAAATGAAAAATGCTCTGTGGCTGGATGGGGACGGATTTCAACCTTCTCGTCTAATGTTGATGATCTGAGAGTGGTGAATGTGTCCATCATTAATCCAAATATCTGCAAAAAGGAGTGGGGTTACCTTCCTTCCAAAGTGATTTGTGCTGGYGGATATAAAACATACCAGGGATTCTGTCAGGTATGTTTCTGTTAGTGTATAAGTGGTGCAAACAGCATGTGCTAAATGTCAAACAAACTTAGTCACATTCCTCTTCTCCACAGGGTGACTCTGGTGGGCCTCTCGTGTGCCAAGGGAAAGCTGTTGGGGTTGTGTCTTTCAACTATTATGCAAATTGTGACTACCCAAATAAGCCTAATGTCTACACAGATCTTTCTGAATTCCTACCATGGATCAACAAGATTCTGAGAGAAAAGAAGTGTGTGTGAAATGTAAACTCAGGCATGACTYGTCTTATTTTAGTCACTTCTGCATTTAATCTGAATAAAACTAGAAGCATTCTAACACTTGTAGCTCATTTCTTTGCCAAACAACAAGAAACACAGATGCAAACAATAAAAAATAAAATCACAAAATGTAGTAAAATCAGTAGAGTGTTCCAGTTTCTGTATCTTGATTGGCAGATATCATGGCTCCATGTTTAGATCAGTGGTGCTCAGTCCTGGTCCATGTAGACTATATGCTGCATGTTTTAGTTTTTTCTCTTCTGCAGGTCTTCAATTTCTGCAGAAGTCTTTTAGTCAGTCAACCATTCCAGTCAGGTGTGTCAAAGCAGAGGGACATCTGACATGTGAAGGACAGTGGTCCTTGAGTACCAGGACAGGTCATCACTGTTTCAGACTATTAAGAACAAATGCAGAACCCTCCAAACTGACCCCTGAGGCCCACGTCAAACTGGAGGCTTGAGGACTACATACAGCCCATTTTACAATCTTATCTGCATTAAAAATGTCCTGCCAATCAATGACAGACCAATTCTTATTTGTCTCTAAAGAACAAGCTCATACAGTGCAGTTTTCTCAKGGCAGTTTTCTAACTTTTAAGCTAAATTAAATAAATTGCATCCTGCAAAACTACAGGGTGAGGGTTTAATGATGTTGCTGAAAGCTGCTGGAAAAGCTAAACAAAAGCTGACCTATATTAAATGTTGAGCTGTCAATGTGAGTTGATTTTGAAGAGCTAAAATTTACTTAAAGCAATAAATGGAAAATGAGAAGCAGCATAACAAAAACAAACATGTAAAAAATGCTGGATGTAGAGAAGAATTGCATGAGGAGAAAAGGTTTAACTAGCAAAGAGAGGCTGAACAGAGCACAACATATGATGGAATTTGTTCAAACAACAAGAAAGTGGCACAAAAGTTTGAATTGATTAAAGTATGGCTGACAAAGGCAGAAAATGCTGAAAGAGTTCAAGCAGGAATGTTAAACTCAGCTACACAAGGGAGCCAAATTTTTAATTTGGTCCAAGCCAAGGGCCAATGTCTGTCAATGTAAACATTGATTATTAGGGGTCCAAGCCCGAGGAAGCAGGGTAACGCAGCTGCAAAGCAGCAGCGTTTCCATGTCTCCATCGGAGCATGGAACCCTATTGTATCTGTTCCGTTTTTTATTATTATTATTATTATTATTATTAGGGGTCCAAGCCCGAGGAAGCAGGGTAACGCAGCTGCAAAGCAGCAGCGTTTCCATGTCTCCATCGGAGCATGGAACCCTATTGTATCTGTTCCGTTTTTTATTATTATTATTATTATTATTATTATTATTATTATTATTAT